ACCCTGAGAATTGTAGTAAAGCTCCACCCMAAAAAAAGAGGAAGAAGCACAAAGAAGAATGTACATATCACTTTAAGACATAATAGTAATTGTATTGTTTTATTATAACTTAAAAAGATAAATATATCACTTTAAGACATAATAATAATTGTGCTGCTGGAGCGGGCTATTAAATATTTGTCTTGCACTTCTCTTCTCTTCTCTATTTTTCTCTTCTTCTAATCTTCTCTCCAGTTCTTGCCGTCTTTCAATCTCCCTCATGTATTCTTTTAACTTCTCTTCCTCAGTTCTAATATATATGTAACAACGTTTTCTATCAGTACAAATAAACATTGTATGTGTACATATTCATAAAATTGTGAATACTGAAATTTTACAATTCAATATTACAATCTCTTACAATTCCTTATCATCATATTTAATACTTTTTCGTCTTTTCCTAAAACAGCAAGAAATTAAATGATTAGATCATTATTTTTTGTTTCAGAAATGAAGAGAGAAAAAAACACAAAGCTACAGAACTGTATATACCGTCGTCTCTCGCACTYGTCCATCTTTCCTATTGACTTGTCAAACGTCAGGACAAATTTACGAGTTTGCAAGCTATCATTGATAGCTGAAGGCGGGAAAAATTGACGCGCGTACGCACCGAGCAAATTAAATGGCGGGAAAAAATAGAACGAAAAATCGTGATTTGTTAATTTATAATAACTCTCTGAAAAAAAAGSCTGATTAAATAAGGATAGAAGTAAATATATTATAAAATAAAGACTYACCTGACACCAGGAAAACTTGCCATTTTCACAAAAACTTTATTATTGTAGGCCGTATTGGAGCTAGTTTTCAAAGACGCCATTTTCTCCACGCGTGGATTCTTGACACATTCAAATAATTCAGAGCTTTATCTTTCAGAAATTCCACTAAAACCATTCTATGGAACCCTTTGATTTACATTTCAATGATTTCAAAAAGTACAAAACAATCGAGTCATTTGAAACGATCTTAAAAGAGTAATTTCATGAACACCAAAACCATGCTCTTTTCGATGTCAACCATTTTCTAGAACCTCGTTCTCATGTTAAATGAACGACCATGTGCAAGCAGACGGGGAGCATGGAACCTAATGTCCGGTTTTTTCTTACAACGAAACAGCCGTGTATTTCTGATAGGGAAATTGTCACACGCAGCGGTTTCCTTGACCTACCTTTCAATGATAAAGATCTAGTATTAGCTGATAAAGGTTTTACTATTGATGACTTATTACGACCTAAAGGAGTAGATGTTTGGCTGCATCCATTTCTTGGCAGCTCTAACCAAATGCCAGCAGAGGATGTTATCTTGACACAAGAAATTGTCAGTTTAAGAATACATGTTGAAAGAGCTATAAATAAGATAAAAAAATTTCATGTATGGGATAGAGTTGTGCCWATTCACCAGTTAGGTCTTGCAAACCAGATGTGGGCTGTTTGTGCTTTTCTTTGTAACATCCAGCCAAACATAATTTCAGTTTAAAATTGATATTTTTATTATTTGGATAAATTTAAGATAAATTCAACATATATTAAACCCTAATTTGTAATAAAAGTCAATTTGCAAAATGCTATCAAAATTGACAAACATCAAGAATTTAAACTACTGATCTGCAATTGAGACTTTTAATTCAATGATTGTAATGATTATTCATGGATTAATTTAGGTTGTTATATTGCAGATACATGCATAGCCAGATTTACTGTTAATACAAAKCTATACTAGCTAGAGTACAAAGACAATAAGTTTCCAATACTTTGCACTATTTGGTTTAGTTAATGTTCTTGGTAATAAAAAAGGTTTAAATGTACAACATTAAAATTCATACAGCATTTTCAGAATAAAAGAAATCTATGTCTATACATCATTTKTGTCTTGAATAGACAGATCTTCAATTGTATACTTGATAAAATGAGTGAAGTAATAGGTGGTGAGTTTTAGACTTTTCCAGTAGTCACTGTCAAATGGCACTCGTTGTATGTATAGTCCTTTCTTAGTGTAGACAATGAAATCACACCACTTKGCCCCAGTGACACCCATTTGGCCTTGAACTTGTGCATAGTACATATGATACTTTTTATGTTCACAAGTGGTGCTACTGGTTTTTTCCATGCAGAATGTTTGATCAGAACATGCATCTACAGGTGTAACATTTTTGTGACRAAGGCCTTCTGGGAAGGTCAGGGGTTTTTGGGTTTAGCATTTGAAATATATGACCCGTTATCATCAGCTTTAGCAGTCTCAATGCTAATATKTCTTGAATCCAGTGTGAATATTTTATTTTCTCTGATCCCACTTGGTTTCTGTTTGAATTCAAGCTCCTCTTGAGGTCTTCCAGGACMATAGTCTTCTTCCATCCACGAATCAAAAGTTGGTTTCTTCTATAAAAGTAAACAAATAATTATAAAGACATCCTCGTCATCATTTTTATGATTTAATAGGAGTTCTGAGCTACAGATCGCGTTTCCCACACGAAACCAATCTCTCTCTTTCTCCCTCTAATAAGTCTTTCTAAAGTGTCTTTAATAAGTAAATCCCGCGGGGAAGGGGGGAGGGGGGCTTAATAGAGCATTTTAAAAGGATTTTATATTCCTTCATTATGTTGGTTTACACAACCCTTCCATCGTATACCCGGTTTGTTCTTCAATCCATGCATACTGACCCTCCCCTTTCCTATCATGCCTCTTTTGTATTCATTCCATTTTTCATTCCGCGTAATTCATCCGTTCGAAATGAACAAGATCAATTGCTCACCTTCGATCGAGGAGACTTTCCCTTCCAAGATTTTTTAGAGCTGTCCCCAAAGGCAGGGGGGAGGTCTTCATCGCTGTCAGAAACATCACCCTATAACAAGTCAACACAACTCACATTATATGGAGGTAAAAACGCCTGATTTTCGCTATCGACCAATCAAAAGAGACTTAGTAACTAAGTAAAGTTAGATACTAAGTAAAGTTCTAATAATTATTTTTTTT